AGCTTCCCAAGAATTATGAAGCTTCTCGAGCAACTACCCAAGAGTTAGGAAGCTTCTCAAGTAACTTCCTAGAATCTACTAGAATATTCTAAGAATCTTCTAGAACCTTTTAAGGGAATCTTTAGGGAATCTTCAAAGAATCTTTATATAATCTTTGAAGAATATTCTAAGAGAATATTCAAGGAATCTTCTGGAAGTTTCTAGAGACTTCTTTCTAGAAGGTTCTAGAAACTTGTCTCTAGAAAGGTCTAAGGACTATGTCCCTAACATTATTGGATGTTAGTTTATGATAGTAGCTTGGACAATCAACATAGCATAATAAAGAAGTTTGTAAAGAGATAGTTTGAGCCTTATGTTGTCAAACAAGTATATGACAATGGAACATACTTGTTACAAGAACTTGATGGTATAAAATTGAAGATATCTATAGTAGGCAAACAAATTAAGTTATTTAAATAAGGGGATGAAGATATTTATTTTAATGAAGAACAAAATCCATTACAAGAAATTGAAATGAGAATAGAAGAAAAAATTGAAGATCAAGAATTTGACCAAGATGAAGAACACTCTATATTAATATAATAAAGAAAACTTGGTGTATATTAGAGGATACACAAGTTCAAAGAGGGTGTATGTTGTGATATAATATGACTAATATGTGAAAGAAAAAAGAAAAAGTTATATTATAGAAGATCTTATTTTAAAATATTTTAGCAAACTATCTTAGAAATATAAATAATAGTAAAAAAGATAATAAAACTATAAAATATTAATATTGCCTTTTTACAAAATAAGCTTCTACTTACTTTTTAGGATTATAAATAAGAAAAAATAAAATAGATTAAAAAATTAAACTATATATGTATATATAGGAGGTAATTAAGAATAGATTTTAACAAAATCTATCTCAAGGAGTCAAGAATTCATATCCAAAAAAGACTAGTTGTTAACCTGGATCAAAATCAGACCTTGAAACATAAACTCATATTTGTATGGTGTCTCTAGGATTCTTTTGTAGTTCCAAGAAAGGAATTTAGGTAAAAACTAGAAGAGAGATTTTTACACATTAATTTCATGTCATTTGAATCATTATTGTAATTTTGAGAGGTTTTTAAAGTTAGTAATGTGCTTGGTGGCTTTAGATTTTGAAAAATAAAAATATGTTTATAAATTTGGAGGTTTTCTTAAGTTTTGTAGTATATATACAAATAAAATTTGGACAATATTTTGGTATGCTAGTTGTAAATATGTATATAAATTTTTAAGTCAATTGAATAATTAGATTGAAGTATATAAGGATTTTTGTAGATTGAGGTCTCAAAAATTGGAATTTGAGGGTCAGTGAGTGTTTTTAAGATTTTTAGCAATTTGTCTTCGGATTGAAGTAAAAAAAAAAATATATATATATATATATATATATTAGACTTGATTTCCAAAATTTGGATGAAATTTAAAAGTAATTCAATAGTTCAAAAAAGAAGTATTAGTGTTGAAAGTTCAATATTTAGGTTGAAGTAGGCCACTTAATATCCAATTTGATTATCTTATATTTCTTTCAATTCGTTTGTCCAATCAATTTTATCTTTTTAATGCCTGTTTCTTACTAAGCTATTAAGAAGTATGCAAATTTTGAGTTGATATTAACAGTTCAATCATTAATTGTTGTATAAATTTTTTTAAGATCTAAGATTTGATTAGGATTTGATTTAGGGTTTGTCTATAGTTTGGTTAGGGATTAGAATTTGGTCTAAGGTTTGATTAGGATTAAGATTTTCTTAGGATTTACTTTAGAACTTAATTAAGATTTAATTAAAATTTATCCAAGGTTTGTTTAGGGTTTAGAATTTTATTAGGGTTTCATTAGAGTGTAATCTAAAATTTGATTAAGATTCAATTAGGATTTCAATTAGGATTCGACTTAGGATTTGGTTAAAATTTAATTACAATTTTAATTAGGATTATATTAAAAATTTTATTTTTAATATTTATTTAGGATTCTTTGTTATTTTTTTAAAGTTTTTATTTTTTATATTTTAAAAATATTATTATTATTTCTTTAAAGGTTTTTTTTTATATTTTTTTAAGATTTCATGTTTTTTTTTTTTTTTTGAAATTAAATTATGACTTCTTTGTGTTTCTTTTGTGATTTTTTTTAAAATTTATTTAGATAGATTAAAGTTTGATTGGATTTATTAGAGATTAATTGAAGTTTATTTAAGACTTTATTAGACTTGATAGGATTGTTGTTGCATTTTTTTTTATCTTCTACAACTACGTGCTCAATACATTCTCAAGCAAGAACACTTGTTGTATTACGTGTATTCTTGCTTAAGAATGCATTAGACATCTAGCTGTGGAAGGTAAGTAGAAATGCAATAACAATCCTACTAAGTCTAATAGAATCTTAAATAAACTTTATGTAAAACTTAAAAGTCCTAATCAAACTTTGATCAATCCATAATAAATTTAAAGAAGCTATAAAAGTAATATAAAGAAGTCCTAAATTAATCTTAAAAAAAAATAATTAGTAATCTTAAAGAAATATAAAAATAAATCTTTAAAGAAATAATAATAAACTTAAATTTTTACTAAAACTATAAAATTTTAAAGAAAAAAAAAAATCATAAAAAAATATTAAAAATAAAAATCCTAATTCAATCTTAATCAATGCCGAAGTCAAATCCTAATTCAATCTTAATCAATTTCTGGGTCAAATCCTAATTGAACCTTAACCAAATCTTAAGTCAAATCCAAATGAAAAATTAATAAAATCCTAAATCCTAAATAAATCTTAATTAATTCCTAGTCAAGTTTTAAACCAAATCTCACGAAAATCTTAATCCTAAGCAAATTCTAGACCAAATCCTAAGCCCTAATCAAACTGTAGATAAATCCTAAACCAAATCCTATAGCAAAATCGAACCTCAACAATTAATGATCAAACCATTGATATCAATTCAAAATTTGCTTACTTCTTAACGTCTTTGTTAGAAACAAGCATAAGAAAGATAAAATCAATTGCACTTATCAATTGAGAGAAATGCAAGATAATCTAATTGGATGTTGGATAGCATCTTATCTCAACCTAAATGCTAAACTTTCAAAACTAATACCTTCTTTTTAAACCATTAAATTGCTCTCAAATTTCATCTAAACTTTGAAAATTGAATCTAATATCTTAAAAAAAAAAAAAAAAAAAAAAAAAAAAAAAAAACTTCAATCCAATTGAAAAATCCTTGAAGATCTTAGAAATACTGACTGACCCTCAAACTTCAATTTTTGAGACCTCAACCTATAAAAACCTTTATACACTTTGTTCTAACTATTCAATTGATCTCAAAATTAGCATAAACATTAACAACTAGTACACCAATACACTGCCTAAAATTCACATGTACACACACTACAAAATTCAAGAAACCTTTAAATTTATAAACATATTTTTATTTCTCAAAATCTAAACCAATTGAAAACAACACTAACTTTGAAAATCCCTCAAAAATTCAATATTGATTTAATTGATATAAAACCAATGCCCAAAAATCTCTCCTCAAGTTTGCTCTCAAATTCCACTCTCTAATTTACTAAAGAACCATGAAGTTGCCATATAGATGCAATTTTATGCCTCGAGTTCTAATTTTGATCTAGGTTGATAATTGGTCCTTTTTGGATATCAATTTTTGGTAATTTTAGGTAAATTTTTCTTTATCTTATGTTAAATCTTTCTTAAACATGCTTATATTAATTTCATACCTTATTTACTTTGAGTTGGTTCATTTATGCCTCTACAGAATAAATAGAAGTTTCTTCTATAAAAAAGCAATTTTAAGACTAAATCTTTAATTACCTTTCTATATTTTTTACTTATTTTTCTACTACATCTTTCTGCTAGGCTTTTCTATAATAACATCCATATTTTTATTTTTCACTATATAATTGTGTTACCACACAAAAACATAATACAACAATGGGTTTCTACTAATATATATATGTACATAAACTGCCATTATATGGATACACTGCAAATACTCTACATTGTATGAAATTGTCTAATCGGTAGTCTATTTTCAGGGCGGATTTTGACGTCTACATCACAGATCACTGATTTTGACGTCTACATCAAAGATCACTGATGCTAAGACATGGAAGGCTGGTGACGGTGTGACACCCAGTTGATTACAATACCGGCTCTAGTGAATTCGATTCACTGGTTGGTACCAACATTGAAACCAGCCCTGGCACTGAGCCATTCAAAGATGATGCAACAATCAAGCTTTGCGATGAGTAGATATCACTCCCAATAATGCGAAAGCTGGGCAAAGACTGACACAGACACTCCTGCATGCATTAGCACTGTGTGTGTTGCTAGAAGAGTAGTTGTGAGCCGGTGTCCAGATTCATCAGCCTCCCTTCTCATTGCACAAACTCCTGTTATATGTTAATACTCACCATGGCTGGGAAGTGCCACCAGTGAAGACGAAGAGCATAAATTCAGACAGAGCCACTTCTACGGAGTGCAACGTCGATTTCTGTCACCAGTGTGTCAGAATCTGGGAGCATTTAGGTGAGAAACGCCTGTGGGTCCTTCTGCTACTGCTGGCTTCCATTAAAGAAAGGGTATGGGGCTCGGATCTTCGCAGCAGCACTGATTCGACGCGGGCTTCGGTGGTGTGTACGAGTCTTATTTTCTGCAGTAGGATCAGCTTTTTGCAGCGTTTTGTTCTGCTTCCATCAGGAGCTCTGAAGCTCGCAGCCCAGTCAAATCAGTCAACCAACGGTAAAAGCTGAATGAGTGCATTGGAGAAGAGGATTTTGGAGCTGAAGTTGAATTGAAGGGCGGTATGATGTTTTTCGAGCTCACCGCAGACTGGGTCATTGGAGCCAATTGGGGAGCTGATGGGGATAATGACTGTTAAGGCGTGGACAAAAACTTCTTCTCTCAAAACCCACTTGTCAGTCATGCAAATGGATTGTAATCCCTTTTCTGGCCCTCAAGGATGAAAATTTTCACATGAGAGTGAGCAAATTTTTTTTAACGTTCAATGGACGCGTCACCGAGATTTATCACTCAGATAGTACATCGGAATTCCAAAGCACCGTCCCCAGATCATATAATTAAGCCTTTGGGTGTGATTGTTGGACCACGCCGCCCCTACACATGACGAAAAGCACGTGTGTGCTCTGAAACTACCGTAAAGACTTCACTATGAATTTTTTTTTTTTTTTTTTTTTTTTTTTGATATTCCTTAGCGTAATCTGAAAACAGACTTCACAGTAACATTTAGGAGCTCCTTTTCATACTCGCACCAACATACCAAGGTGTTCATATACCCACTGTTGGCGGGCAATCATTAACTTTTCCGAGCGCCAAAGTCCATTTCTTGTATCGTGTGTGCTTGAGAAAGGAGTGGTCACCTGGGGGCTTCATTGCAACATCCCGGGGCTCAACGAACGCTGCACCTGAGGAAATGAAAAACACTCGCGGGTTTGCTACTTGGGTGCCATGGCTGCACCACTTGGGTTGAGTCGGCGTAGAGTATTGCTCACCGAAACCTGACCTGGCTAATCCATTGTTTCCTGATTCTCGCTATTCGAATTTGTGCTTAACCTTACGACAACCAAGTATCGTATTGGCCTTGCTCATCCCTTTCTCATTAGCAAAATACTACAGGTTACATGCAACATAATCATACACACCTTTCGTACCCTTCGACTTTCAGCATTGCAAAATACAAGGCGGCGATGTAGTTCTCTAGGTCTACTCTGCGTAGGCAACAACGTTTAGTGTTCATCGTGGGACCTTAATACTATATTAGACCTCGATTTCATGGCCGTTTCCGAGTGGAGTTCTTAGGGACTTCCTGGAAGTATTCCCAGACAGTTGCAGAGCATTCCGAACCTATTTGCAAAGAGGGCCCTACCTACGTGCTCCTCGCTCAAGGACTTCACTTGAATAATTTGAATTGGAGTCGCCCTGAAATCCATCAAAGATCTCCTTCAATCCTCCGTGAGTGACCATATTTTTCCCAGCAATACGATGATCAACCGCAACAAGAGAGCACTGCAAAAATAAACAGAGGAGTTGAAATGGAAGGGGAAAGAGTTGGAACCCACCTCGATCTTGCATTGGAACGAGAAAGTTGCGGGGTGACGACTGATTTCCCACAAGGTCCAGCTCTTATCTCCCCTGAGGCACCAACAAATTCATTCCTTGGAGGCTGATCCGTCTTCATTGTATCGCTCCTAGACTCCGCAATTCTAAACTTGCTGCTTCGTAAAGTCGATTTCTCAATCTCCGCTGATGCCATTGCCATGTCTATGAAAAGAAGATCTTTGAGTGTGCTGTCTTTCTTCTTCGGCCACAATTTTTCAGCTGAATTACGGTTAGCCTCGACCCCAGAGGAAGCAGAGGAAGATGACACAAAAGACACAGAGTCGTTGCAGAAATTGGTTTCTGGGGAGAGATTGTTTCCGGATGATGGGCATTCTCGGTTGAATGGTAGCAGCGGCGTATGGGACCTGAGTTCCTGCTTCCCTCCTTTCGTTCCTAGGATCGTCGTATCCTCATCGAGAGTCTTGGTGAATCTACATAATGATAGAGACCTTGGCGATCGGGGAGACTGTGGGGAGTGGTAACTTTTGAAGGAGCTGCTGCTTGAAACATCGGAGCAAGGAGAGTCCGAGTTTCTGAGAGGTTTTTCTGCCAGCAGCCGGGGGGGTAGAGGTAAGCGTAGCGGTAAGAGATGACCGTTTGAAAAAAGTTCTTCTGCTGTAGACATGGGAGGTGCCCGCCACGGAGGGGGCTCCACAATCCCTTGAAACCTGCTACTAAATTCGAACTCGGTATTCGACGACCCTCGAGACAAACTTTCCGTCGTCTCCGACTCTCCTGAGCTGCTTGAAGAGCCACGATCCTGGTACTCAGTTGCTTCAGTTTCATCGGAAGATACATGACCCACATCTACGAGGCTGATACCGAGATTGTTCTTCGGTATTCCAGGAACCAACTCCCAGATGAAGGGTACGGCAGCCCGGACCTCTCCTAAGGGAGCTTCCTCTACTTCCTTTTCGAATGCTCGTCTAGGACTGGAGGGCGCACTAGCGTAAGGAGTTGGCAGAGAAAACTCTCCATCCTCTGCGTAAGGGATGGCCACGTTCTTACGCCCCCTCGGCGAAACACGCAGTCTTAACACGGGCAGTGCTTCCATCTTTCCACTGCCCAGAAATTAGAAGATAGATTGTGCGTCAATCGCTCTGCAGTCGATAATGTATGACGTGTAGGGGTGCTGGCGTATAGGTGGGCATATCCACCTACAAAGTCAAAACCAGTCAAATGAAAAGCAGGCGCGAGTTTCGAGGCTGCAGATAAAACTACAAAGTTTCCCTACGCATTCAGCAACTTAAGGATGCGAGGACCTTCAAGAGACCACACTGAGCTCATTTTTAGCAGTCGTAACAGCTCAACCAAGGACTCAGGCCCTCAATCAAAGCTACGTAGTCCCGAGCTCATTGCAGCCTACTGCTGTGAACGTAACCTGTATTTGTACACTATAATTGGGACGAAGCTGTCCCTCAGCGAAGATCGAAGCAAAGAATCATGTGTGTACATCACGAATTGATACAAAGAAACTGAGGGCCTCTAGCTGAGAGAGACCTTAGTTGAGATTTCGACAGCGATGATGAAACATTGAAATCGAACGACGCTATGTACAAAGTGCAAGCTGCGACTGGCTCTTTCTATATATATGTATATATTGGTCTCACCAGCTCAGAAATTGTGAACCTCAAGACGTGTGACGAGAAGCAAAGGAGAAATGGAAAGTGTTGGGAGACAAAGTTCTATCAAAGACCCAGAAAGCGGGAAGGGTCCTTTCCAGAAGACATTGCTACTTAGGAGAAGGAAATAATGCTACCTCAAAAACAGCAGTAAAAATGCGAGTAAGTACAGAATTAGCAGAAACATAGGCTCTCAATAGAAAGGGAGAGAGAGACGGACAGCGTGAAAAGGGTATCTGCAGAACGCATTTCCCATGTACCGGCCCACGTCTTTTTTGCATGGCAAAGCGAAGCAGGGATACGAATCAACGGGTCAATTCCAGCGCTGACCTCGGGTTAAATCTACACCCAGGAAAAAAGGGCTCTTGAAGTGTAATAAAGTGGACGGTAACCTACCAAGATCCCAACAGCGACAAAATTCCATGCAACGCGAGCGTTGAGCTCAAGGGTCGCATTCGCGTAAATCCACGCACAGCATTGTGCGTAAATAATCGAGCTACTCCAACTCACATCAGGATACGAACAACATACAGACACTGGAGCTTCTGCTGCCTCCACAGCTACGGCTCAAGCTCCGGAGAGACTCAAGAACCCCAACAAGAATAAAACGGCAAGAAAATCACCCGCAATTTGACACATCCTCGCAATCTGTTTCTCTCAATCTATTCACACGCAGATTCTCAGATTCCCTCTCAACAGCCCACGCCATTGTTCGGCACAAAGCTCTCTCTCTCTCTCGCTCTCTTTAGTCCACACGAAATGGCTGCAACTCTAACAAGAAGGAGGAAGTGTGTTACAAAACCAGAGTCTGATTTGAAGCTGGAAGGTATCAGTCAATCAATCAAGCTTGATTCTGCGAAGCGATGAACAGCGTTGAGAAATCGAGTCTCGAGAGTATGAAAAATTGCATTGATTTTCGTGAAACCCACAATAGCCTTTCGGTGGCATCGCCGCAAGCGGGAGATGAAGCTCATGCTCGATTAAAATCATCCATCTTTCATCCATCGTTCATTCAAAAGATTATTCGGAAGAATGTTGGGACGAGGTTATTGGTTGGACTTTTTGTTACAGAGTTTGTATGGTTTTAATAACATTTTTGAGAATTGCTAGATTTTTCTTATCTCTTTGTTTAGACTAATTTATATTTTTTGTTGACCAAATTGTATGATTGTTGATATTTTAAAAGTTAAAAAATAAAATAAAATAAAATGACATTCTTGCTTTTTGAGTTTGTCAAACTGTGTAATATTTATAAAAGCCAATTATTTGAGCATAATTTCTCAATTATTTTTTATATTGATTTAAGTATGAAAGATGTGCATTTTTATTTCTATGCTCATTATTTTTATTTTCTAATTTTTTTTGAAAATATTCAAAAGCATGTTGTCATGCCAAGTATTATTATTCTTACAAATATAACCTTTTGAAAATAGTAGCAACTAACCCTTTAATACCAATTCATACATTCATTGCTTATGTAGCATTAGTATGCAACAGACACATCTTAAAGTTTGTCTTATTATTTAAGCTATCTTTAGATATTGCAAGAGGATCTTAAAGTTAAAGATAGATCTTTATATCTATATAAAAGAGTACAATAATTATATTTCATCACATGCTTATTATTGTTGGTGGTATCTTCGTCACAAAACATTTAATTGCTATTTTCAGATGTACTTTCTTGTAGTATTTAAGTAAGAAACATCAAATTGTCTTATCCACAATCATATGATTTATTGATTAAGAAACTCTAATTTTGTGAGCAAATGTGCTCAATGTAAAAAATGTAGTGAGATGTAAGGAATAACTTTAGTACATATCTAAAAGAAAATTGGCCAAATCCAAAATTACATGGTTTACAATGTAATAAGAATGAAATCAGTTAAATTAAATGATGAATGGTTATTGTGTTTTCTTTTGTTGATTGTTGTATCTACGTTCGTGTGTAATAATTGATAAAAATTATACCAGAAATGAAAACCGCTTGTGCGAATTTATCAACAGAGCCAGAATCATTTAACCAGCTTATTTCCATGCAAGGGAAATCAGTCTGACGCAAAGAAGGATTATTTAGGCAATGTTCAACCATACATTGAACTACATGGAGCCACATTTCTAACATGCGCATGTTCTAATCAACTCCTCACTCATCTTCATGTACACAATGGTCATTTTCAACAAAAAACAAAAACGCAAAATGAACATAAATTTGTTTGAATATGAACATAAATTAATGAAGTGTTTTCATAAATATCAAAGATTCGTGTTTGACGGTTAGTGGGTGCATCCAGTACTGACAGACGTCTTTTTTATGCAACTAAAAACCAAGTCTCTAAAAATTCTAGCAAAAGCAGAGCAACAGCATCTATATCAGAAACCATAACATAGAAAAAGAACAAGAAAAAGAAAAGTAAAAACCTTAGCCTTAGCTACGATTTATCTCGTTCCAAACACTGCTGGACAATGACTACAATGACTACACTGAATGTGTATATTGTTCATTACAACTGTTGTGTTTCGTAATACTTAGTTACAAGATAATGGTTCAGGATTGTACAAAATGAGGAGCAGTAATCTACATTGTCGTGGCTACACCAAAAGGCCACTTAGAGGCTGCCTGTATCACACAAGAACGCAACTCCATATGCTGTTTCCTCCCGCCAAGACTTAAGAAATGCAACGTATCAGTAAAGAAAAGCAGGGATCTAAACAGATCTGGACGCAGAGATGGAAAGAAGGAAGACCAACCTCGTCATGTTGAAGTAGTAGAAACTTCATCAAAGTAGAAGTCGCATTGACCTGAGATAAATTGAAGCACGGATAATCAAGCAGTCCATCTTGATCAATTATACTGCACCATGAAAAATGTGCCTGAACATTCTTTTCCACCATGTACCGAAATCACCACTTGATAGCTCCCATCTTTGAATGCAACCCTTTCCAAGCGTATGCAGGGTCCATCTGCATAACCCTTCAACCATAGCATCAATATGGCTTTGCCCTCTTACAGGCCTTCTCGGTGGCAGCTGAGGGTCTGCGAAGGGGTTTTGACTCAGCGTCTGACACAATAACATCACTGGACATTGTTCTGGCAAGCTTCGAACAGCTTCGTAGTAGGCTCTTTGGCTGACTGGACTTGGGTTCAAAACGAGATTCTTGAGCACCAGTATCACTATCCGCATCCGGAGTACTTTGAGGCAATGTGCTGGACAGTGCCATGGTGGCAGCTACTACAGGCTCATCGAGAAGAAGGCTTCGGACGCGTGTGGCAGCTCTGGTACTGATGGGAGGAAAGATTGTTGTGCTTGTGAGTCCCATGTCCTCGCAGTTGCATCCTGTGTGTTCTGAAGACCCTGGAGAAGACTGATCGCCACCTTCTTCCAACCCTTCTGGGACAACTCCTTTCTCTGCACCCTTCTCAGGTGCTACCGTAGAGGATGCAGGCTTAATGGGGGATTGAGATCTCATCTGAAGGGAACGAAGAAGAGCTGCTCTTCTCAAGTCTGCAGATTGGCAAGGGTCATTAGGAGAAGGGGGTAACCGGCCCTCATCTGTTCCTTTGGCACGAGCTTGAGAACAGGGTAAAGGAAGTGAAGGTGTGTAAGGAGGGGGAGTCTGCTGGCGGGAGGACAGCGTGCTAGAATAGTTAGGAATATATGGAGGAAAGTGCTCTTTCCGACGCGGAGACACAGGGCTAGTAGGAGTTACAGATACAGATTCAAGAGTGGAGACAGGAATCTCTGATGCACGGCCCATCCGAAAACCGACACTCTCATCACTATCATCAGACATTGGAGAATCTAATGTTGATAGGTCATCCCTGCACACAATGAAGTGACAGAGGATATTACATCTGCATAGAGGTCACTGAAGACGAGACCAAAGAATGTGTTCACAGACTCTGGATCTATGGATCATTCATCTGTAGATTTCAGGTTCCAATTTAATATCGACTATATCAACTTGATGGCTGTATAAAATGAAGGGAGCTAAATGAGCACGGAAAAATGCAAACTGTTCTTCTCTTTCCACAAGACAAGACTTATGATCGATGCTGTTCTGGTAAGCTAGTTCGGTAAAGTTGGGGAGTTCCTACATGCATGAGATATGGTCTAAGGCATTAGGTTCGCTGTTGGTTGCGAAGCGGACACGGGAGGAACAGAATAGTAAAATCCTGCGACCAACTCCTACAAACGCATAGGTGGCCTCACTGGTTGAGGTTGGGGGAACATACCCATGACTTGTAGGAAAAGAGGACGCAGATCGGGAAAGCCCTGCGGTCTCCGTGTGAGCAGGGGACACCATGTTGTCGATCAGGGGTGGAGACGATCGTTGTGACTGAGAGGTTGATTCACCAACTCGAAGCCCATTTAAACTTGATGCCATAACCTGAAAATATCGGCAAAAAGTCAACTGAAACTTCATGAATGCGCAGTCGCCGAGCACAAAATTTCTTACGAGGATTAAGTTTTGTTGAGAACAAAGATTAGTTGCCCTTGAAAGCCAGCCCTCATGAAAAGGGCACCTCGGGCGCTCAAAGAACCAGGTGCATTAAATAAATATAAGTGCAGGATGGGAAGCTTGACCTCGGTGAGATAACGTTTATGATTATGGAAGTTGTCAAAATATGCTTCATCGTCAGCTGGCCGAGATCGTTTTCCACCAATCAAAGAGCCAGAGTCCCGACCCATTTTTATTTGTTTCGGATAGAAGGCGTTTGCTGGGGAACTGCAACCTCAATCAACCAGAGAGTCACGACGCGGTCGCTTGAAAACCTGTCATCACTTCAAAGGTTATATGGCAGCATCTTCGTGTAGACGTCCCTACTCTGCAACTTCCAGTAATTTTCTCACACACAGCTTAGCATCTCTAATGCGACGCCGACCGTGAAAATTTCAACACAGATAATTATCTTCCAACGGTCATATTATCGATAATTAGGGAGTAATTAAGGGACAAAGTGAGAATAACAGTCAAAAATTACTCGTCTGCGGCTGAGCATGTTCCAGCCAAACTCTTATCCCAACTGAGTCCATGTTAAAATCGACAAACCCTTACGAGTTGAAGAACGTCCATCTGAACAATTAATGAGGTAATCACAGGTAGTCTGACGTGGTGGTGGGCTATGTGATACGCAACAGTCCCAACAAGCTCCCAGTGGAACTCTACAGTAGCAGGGGCACATCCACACATCCCAGGAAGCCACTAATTTTGATAATTTCTCACTCAAATTCATCCTGCCAACCGCACAGAGCAATGCGATTACCTTCTTGAAACTGCACATGCCCAGACAGAGCCACCAGAAAGACTCCTAAAATTCTAAGAATGAAGATCCTTTACCAAGACAACAACGACTACAACACATTCTACAGTTGCTTGTCGCAATGACGCAGTTGGGAAGCCCAATCTAGCTCAAGTGTTGAAAACAAGGGCACTACTTAAAATAAAACCAACGACTTTTCACAAATAAAATGACTGACCCCGCAAAAAATTTAGTCTCGAAGTGCATTACAAAGATATGACCTACTCCCTTCGATTCGTTGCCTGAAAATAAATTTATAAACTGTCGAACAAACAAAACAAAAACAAGCAAACAGGGCAATATTCTAAGCTCACCTGTGACAACTGGGTGAATCCCAACAAGAAACACAACAATAAACCGGCTTCTCCGACGCCTAGAGCACCACAGAACCCCAACCAAGGACGCGGATCGCGGCTAACCCGAGTCCTAAAAATCACAATCTAACATTCCCCATCGCACAAGCCACCACCGACGCAACCCACCACAGAACGACATCAAATTGCCGGCCTCGAAAGGGAGCAAATCCGGTTCCTAAGGTTCAGTACAATCGTAACGGAAGCCTCGAAAAAACTGCTGCAGGCAGAGCGGAGTGGAGAGGGATCACGCCCCGTGCTAGACCCTCTCCTTGCACCGTGCCGAGGAATTGGGCCGACCGGTGCGGTCGCGAGATTCGGACAATGAGATGAGCGTGACGATGCCCACTCCCTCTCTCTCTCCCTCCCTCGATCCCTCTCCCGCAGGAGACGGCGACAACGGCCCTCTTCGCACTACTTTACTTGCTTGCTTACTTACTTACTTTACTGTCTATACCCGGTCACGTCCCTTAATTGTGACCGTTCTCGCCCCCTGTCTTGTTTGTTTGTCTGTCTCCTCTACCCCCACCCCAACCTACACACATACTTCGCAACCATCACCACCACCGCATGATGTATTCTTGGCTGCGTGATTCCCAAGAACGACCCGGATTTAGCCACCTCTACCTTCGGCAACCACCCACCCACCCACACTCTGGATTCGTCACCGCCCCATTCCTGCAGTTCCATTGCAGCTCAAACAGCATCGTCGCCCGGGAATCGTCGTCGTTACGGCACGTTGCGGCGACCTGCTCTCTCTCTCTGTATCACTGTGTCTTTTTGTCCTCACCGCGGATTGTGTTTGATGCAGGATTTTGGTTTCGCTACAGCGGGGTGTATGCACGCTGCTGCTGCTGACAACATCGAAGCGACTTGTTGGTGAGATTTTCTTCCATCTCGGGGAAGGATTTTTCCCGCGCGGCGACGCAGTGTTGCGATCATCGTCGCAAGTGGGTGATCTATGCGGGAGAAGGGGCGTTGCTGAGCTTCAGTGACGAGATTGGCGACGACGACGACGACGATGTTGCTTACCTTTCACGATTTGTCTGAAGGTTGAAAGGTTAAAATTGGTTTTTTTCTTATGGTTGGGATTCGACATCAATCTTTTAGCATTGTCGTCTTTGTGATGTTTAATGATGTTAAATATATTACACTCAAGGGTTGATACCGTTGAAAAAGGCAAATAACAGTAAATAGCAGTGATAATAATAATAACTTTGTTCAAGTTTTTATTTTTTGTTTTATACTTAGAAATATGTAAAGAATCCATGCATAGTTAATTCTTATTTTTCTTGAAATACCTCACTTTATTTAAATTTTCTTAGTATCAAATACTCAGTATAAATAAATTTCTGATTATTAGAATAAGGGAAAAACACAAATAGTTTTTATTTGTAGACTTCTAAATAGTATGCTTAAGTCAAATTCCATGTCTTAAATCATTATTGTGAAAACAGTCTTGGGGCTATATTAAATACAATTTATTTTAAAAGATAATATATTCATATTAACTTCTTTTGTTGTATCATCAAATAAATGTTTTTTTCTATCAAGATGCAATAAGCAACAATAAATTATTAGTTAAATAACATATTTTTTTTTATTTTGTTTAATTTTTATTTTGTCAATTATCTTAATAAATATGTATGTAACAATTTTTTTTGAATCAATAAGCATTCGTATATGTCTTATCATTCATAACCATAAAAGAACTTTTAAACAATTTTAAAAAATTATTTATTACTAATCACTTACCAATTTTAATACCAAATGTACAAATTAAAATTAAGTTTGTTTGTAAGTTTTATTATTTTATAACAAAATCAATGTTTCACAAAAAAAAAATTGAACTATATATATATATATATATATATATGAGAAAATATTAAAATGACCCACTCATTTACTAAATTGACCTACCCTATTGTCAAGAATAAGGGAGAACAAGGGGAGTTGAAATGAGAGTTGGGAATGATGAGAGGGAAATGGGAGGAGGATTGAGATAAAGAAGGCTAAGAACTAAGGGAGGGCCATGATTGTAATGATAGTTTCTAAGGATGATCCATTTTTTAATGATGATTATAATAAAGTGAGTTGATTTAATAAATGTATAGACTATTTTATTATTTTCCTTCAAATAAATATATGTATATGCAATTTTATGCAATAAAGAGATAAGAGAATAGGATTATGATTTAACTTCTATAAAAATTGTTTTAAAAAAGTTAGAAATAAAAAAAAACAAATAAAAAAAAACAAATATTGTTAAAAAAAACACAAGTTTAATTTTGATTCATCATTGTTTAATATATATATATATATATATATATTTATATATTGATTTATAAAATTGATGTTGAAATTTTATATTATGTTCTTAATGTATTGAGTAATTACTATAGTATGTATTAATTTAAGATACTCCATTTTAGCATTTTTGTCCATACAAACTTTGAATAATAGTTGGAATATTTATTTATTAAGTAATTTCAAAAATCATTACATATTGCATATAGCAAATATAATTTTTTGGTATAGAAACTCTTATTTTTTTTGTTTGGTCTTCTAAAAAAAATCTTTATGGTGGAATTTGGATAAAAAGTAACTTCTTCAATTTTTTTTCTTCTTTTTTCTTCTCTAAAAATTATAAATAGTAATATCTCATTGTATGAAATGTAACTTATTTTTTGAAAAATGGAATTTAATTTAATGGTTAATCTCTATTAATTTTATCACATTAGACATGATGTAGTTTTTTTAAAAATAAAATAGTTGAATTTCTTCCAAGTTTTTTGCTTAACTTGATTTTAATTTTAAAATGTCATGTAAAATGATATATTTTATTTATAATATATATTTTTTTTTATTTTGGTTCTTTTTTGTACACATTATATGTGCTACAAAATGATGGTAGTCTTTTCATTTGGTTTTTTTGTTTTGCTTTATTCTGTTTTGTTTTGTTTTATTTTGTTTTATTTTTTTTTCTCTACTTTACTTTATAACTTGATAAAAAAAAAATTATATTATAAGTTTATGATTTACTAAAATAAGCTGATATAAAATTTAGTTAAAAAGATTTGAATGGATATTCTATAACTTACTAATAATTTTATGAAATGTTGAATACTTTATTTTTGAAAAAAATAAGATTTCTAATTATTAGATTAAATTGCTTAATTTATACACAATTAATAGATTTTAAAATAACACATATATTTTTTTATTAAAAAAGAAATAAAAATGTCATATTTTAAATCTAAATGGTTTTAGAAATTTCAATTCCATTCAATTTGACAAATCTTCTATGATTTGAGAATACATCAAAGTAATTGAAACACCTTGAATGGTATTTACATTGTCATAATATAATACAACTAATATGTAAAAGAGTGAAGAAAATATAATATTTTAGAAAATCTTATTTCAAAGTGATTTAGCAAATCATCTTATAAGTATAGAGAATAGTTAAAGGACAATAAACTAAAAGTCCAAATACTATCTTTTTATAAAGTGGACTTTTATTTATTTTATAGAGCCATAAATAAGGAAAAACAAGGTAGATTGGAAAAATAAAGAATAAAAGTATATATAAGAGGGATTTAGGAGTTGATTTTAGCAAAAATTACCTCAAGAAGATAAAAATAGATATCAAGAGAAGACTAGTTATCAACCTGAATCAAAATCAGACCTTAAGAGACAAAAATGGACACCTATGGCAATTTTAGGGTTCTTTTGTAGATTAGAGAGTGGGTTTTAGGAGGAGACTTAAGAAAAGATTTTTAGGCATTGGTTTTATGTCATTTGAATGTATATTGAGATTTTGAGGAATTTTGAAAATTAATGATGTTTTTAGTAGGTTTAGGTTTTGAAAAACATAAATATGTTTACGAATTTGACAATTTCTTGTGTTTAGTGGCATATATACAAGTGAAATTTGGATTGTTTGATGGTGTGATTATTGTAAAAAAAAATTCAAATTTTTAGGCCAATCAAATGGTAAGATTGAAGCATATTAGGATTTTTGTCGGTTGATGTATTAAAAATTGGAGTTTGGGGATTAATGAGTGTTTCTAAGATCTTTAGCAATTTGCTTATTGGATTGGATTGATCATTATTTATATAGATGATAGACTTAATTTTCAATATTTTTGTGAAATTTGAGAGCAATTCAACAATCTAAAAAGAAAATATTTGTATTAAAAGTTTAGCATTAAGCTTGGAGTAGGAGGCCACTAAACATCCCATTGGATTATCTTGCATCTCTTTCAATTGATATATACAATCAATTTCATTTTTTTTGTGCTTTTTTCTTACTAAGTTACTAAAAAGTGTGCAAAATTTGAGTTGATATTAATGGTTTGATTAATTATTTGAGATTTAATTAAACTTGGTAGGATTGTTGATATATTTCTATTTACCTTCCACAAGTAGGTGCTTAGTACATTTTTAAATAAGAACACATATAATATAACATAATTAGTGAATCCAACATGAAAAGCTTAAGATAGAAGGTATTTAAATTTTTTTTTAGTTTATTTGAATTATAGAGAAGAAAGCAAGAGAATGGAAGGAAATGCTTTTTATTGTGCTTCAAGTAGAGTTAAAAGCGGAGCTATAAGTGGAAGACAAGGTATGTATTTTTATCTCAATTCCACAAGCATGTTTGAGGCTTTTGCTCTATTCATGCAATAGCAACAAATTAAAGATCGCAAAGATGGTATGTCAAACAAAGCATTATAAGCAGTTGTAGACAAGATTGATCAATTTAAAGGAAAGAATATTACAAATTATTTAAGCTATTATGTAAAGAAGATGGAGTTGAAGCGTGTTTCAAAGAAAGAGATGGTTCAATTATTTGAATTAGCTACTATACCACAGATAAGAAATCAAGTGAAATCTATTATAGGATATTTTAGAGGTTCATGGGAGAAATTTTTACAAGCATTAAAAAATGAGTTTTTCTTAGAAGATAGTAATTGGATTATAAAGAAGTCATTTTTTGAATGGATTGAAAGGCATAAAAAAGATCTTCGAGCAAAAAATTTATTAAAGAAGTTTTAAAAGTAATATTCTTGTTTATTAAAGAAAAAGAAGCAATTATTGGATCCAAATAAAGTAGAGCTTTTTCTTCAAGAGATTGACAGAGAGTTACAAGAGAAGTTGGAAAATCTTACTTGAGGATAAAGAAGAAGATGAAGGATTGACAACAAATTAGAAGGAAGTAAAAGAGGTAGTAGGATTACTTGCAAAAAGAGAAAGGAGAAAGGATAGGATGGATATTTAAAGGCCATTGGAAGCATCTAAGGTAAAAATATATATTATACATTTTACATCTATAATTTAATCTTCAATAGTTATATCAAAGAAAGAAGAAATGAATATTGATAAAATCATACAAGCAATGAAAAATTTACAAATAATTTTTGCATAACTTGAGTATAAGAGTTAATCACCAAGAATATCAACAAAACAAAAATTGGGACTAGTAGAAGGTGTAGTATATATATATAAGTGGTGATAGGATAAATCATTGAAGAAAAGAATGTA